CCCCCCTCCCCCCCAACACACACAAAAAACAGCTATCACATTAAGTGGGTCCTAGGATATAAAATCCATGTTCCTTGCACCCTGTTAATGGAGAGGTTGCGGAGAACCTCCCATAACTCTTAACTATTATCTAAGAATGCAAAGTTACCTTGACATTCTAGAATATTAGACCCCCAAAATAATTTAGTTTTAGCACTTAAAATAGAACCTTAAATTGATGTTTGTAACGAGAGAAACCTCAAACATCTGCCACAACGCTTCCAAGCTTCTTCATAAAGGGTTCATTTTCTGAGCATGATGGCTGTCTTCAGATACTCATAAAGGTTTTAACTATAACTCTTCAGAAAATTCTGGCTTGTGGCTTAAGTATCTGAGAAGGAGACTATGTAGTCTTGTGTTATGTTTACAACAAGTTTAATTCACTTAAAAAAGTAGTCTCACCCAACAAGGACGCTTTAAAGGGTTAAGGGGAAAGCTCAGATTTCAATTTCATCCTGGCAAAAGCAGTCTTAGAGACCATATTTAGAGATCTCCCTCCAATAAGGACAACTTTGCAACTGTTAGGATCACATTTGATGCATGTGTGAAAAAAGAAGAGAGCAAAGTGCGCTTCTAGTCTTCTTTCTGACTTTGGGGTGGTTAGAATGCAGTGTAGGACATTGACATGAGGCTTTCATCACCAAGGTACTGTTAATACACATCAGATGGTTGAACTTTAGGAACTATTACATCAACATTTTAAGATCTTCTGGTTGCCTTACTCTCCACATAAATGTCTTTTTGCGCAAGTCCTAGCAATATGTTCTTTTCCATGACAATGAAAACACAGCAAAACCATCTTAACTAATGTCTGCATGCTCAATCTTATTACTGTTGAACACAGAGACCACGAAGCAGAATATTGCTACCTGTTTGGTAGGTGAATCCTTGATTGCTAGCTTTTCTCCACGGAGTTTCCAAATTGAAGTTTATCGTCAAATAACGAAGTGCTTAATATATCATTCAACAATTATTGCTTTTTGAATGACTTCCTGTAATGTGTCAATATCATGGAGTGAATCTACCTTGATATTTGGTTTCAACACAATAATGAACCTACTGATGATAGTCTAAGCGTCACCACTAATGTCACACCTAGTGAGTGCTTCAAATTTGTTTATGTATTCGACAACACTTCCAGATCTTTATTTCAGATTCATCAACTCTTTGAAGAGTTTCCTCTGATGATAGTAGACATGGACATATATTTCTCAAGTTAGTTTTCCTTCATTTTAAGCCAATTACAAAATTGTGCCCCACCTGAATATTCTAAATTCTGCCCAAGTTCTTGCCAATACTGCTTTATTGAACCTGATAGCTTCCTCGTGGCATAGCACACATCATTTAGCATCATCTCTTAGAACTAAAAAAAAGCTTCCACGTTGATTCAACTAAGAAAAGGCACTGGGTTCTACCTTTCCATCAAAGGTGGGAGCGCCAGTCTCAACTCTCTCGGGCGTAATTCTAATATATAGAGGAAAGATCTTGATGATTCCCGATTGTCACCTAGAAGGTGATATCACTTGGATGCCAAAGTTTCCTATTGAGTTGTTGGTAATTTTCAAACCCTCTTCTGTGTATCTGTTAAGATTATCTATGAGTTTCTTCTAATGAGCTCTAAAAGAGGAAGCTCTTCCTGAACCATCATGACTGTTTGTTGATAGCCTACCTCGAACTCAGAAACTTTGGGTCATTAGGATCAGAAACCTTAGAACCATCCCAGATCGTTCTTCTAAACCTGAAATGATTGTCTGCCAACTAACTTATTGAACCAATTTGGGGGCCACATCAGTCACTTGCCAACATCTGTCACCTCGGTCATTCATTTAAAAAAATTATATTTACTACTTTACTAACTCTGATAGCTTTTTCCAACATAAGGACCACATCAGTCACTTGCCAACGTCTGTCACCTTGGTCATTCATTTAAAAAAATTATATTTACTACTTTACTAACTCCGATAGCTTTTTCCAACATAAGGATCTTTTGTTCGAACTCATAACAGGTGTCTTGAGTGTCTCTTTCAGCCGTGTTCAGGCAATGAGAGGATTCCAAATCATTTAGGAAGAGTCTTCAGGGTTCAAGCAAAAGAGAAGATGGTAATACGGTAGATTTGAATATTAATATTAGAATAAAGTTTACTTAAAATTAACATCAACATTCAACATAAGCACATAAATCTCAAATCATGTTAAGGAAAGCAACTTATGTAAGGTGCTTTGAGACAATCTCTCTCATCTCCCTTTTTTTAATGTATGGTTAGGGTAATGCAGACTGAATTTTAAAAGAATCAGTGAAGATGTAATGACATCCTTAGAAATAAAGGTAAAGTCTAAGGCTTCAATGTAAATAGATTTTAGAAGTTCACTTGAGCATTGAAGACTTTCAATCAAGTCTGCAATCTGATAATTAATCTTCATGCCAATCATGTAATTGTTGCCTTGCAACTGCTAATGATGATGGACTCATGTTATTTCTCGAAGAGGATAAAGGTTTTGATCTCAAAACGAATAACCTTGACAGGATCTGCTTGGATACTGATCGATTTAGACTAAATTGAAGATGAAATGGCCTGAGATCAGATCTGAAATTGATCGAGACCAAATCTAGAATGTTGACACCTTTGGAGTGAAGAAGAGATGTTGCTCTCGCTCGTTTTTTCCCCCAGTTATTATAGTAGCTACCAACTTGCTCCCGTTGCTACTTGTTCTCTGGGTTGAGAGCGCGAAAGATTTGGAGAAAATAAAAGGGACAAGTTGGATCAGTCTTTGAAAGAGTTCGATTTCGGAAGGGATAGGGTTTGAGAAGGTAGTCAATGTGGATTGAGGTCTGTAGATGGCTCTCATGTCAGGTAACAGGAAGCAGAAAGGGATGCGACACTTAAGAATCTCAATTAAAATAACTTCTTTAGGAAACATTTCAAATAGCACTCACTCATCAAGGCAAAAATAAAAAAATCAGAGTAAATCAATTCTTTAACACTATTCTCCAACTAACCAGATAAAAATTTCAACTAGAATCTCATCTAAACCTAATCTTATGTAAAGACATAGAGACGAGATTTAAATGTACTAATTTGCTAGCTAAATCTCAAACTAACTTGATCACTAAAATAAAGAAAGCATGACTTTGACTCGAATCAAATCAAACTCAAATTTGATGTCAATATCTCAAAATAGATACGGACAGAAGAGCTCAATCCTCTGATCTCACTGTTTACTATAATTATAATAAAGCAGAGAAAACACAATGAAGGAACATAGTCAAATGCACTGTCATGCAGTACTTAAAAGGTTACGGGAATATGTATTTCAGATTTGAACATCAACCAGGACATTCTAATCATTTTGGACAAATATGTCCGATCAAATCATTTCATGCTACCGCTACTTCTCAAATTTATTTACAGTACATCTCGAATATATTTAAAATTTTGTGAAGTGGCATAAAATTTCTTTTCTCTTATATTTGATTGATACGCGGCCTATCCCTTATCAGCAAGCAATATGAATCTCATTTGTTTACCCTGAGGGTTGGTTGCCTTAAGTTTTTTTCTTTTTTTTGGTCAATGAACTATACGACATTGCCCTTAGCAATCAATATGAATCTACTTATGAATTTAAAGCATGAGGTGTGATTTTGGTGTATTTTTTTATGAATGTTTTAGATGCCATTATTGTATGTTTTAGGTATATGGATTGTGGATCATATGAACCTTTGTCGTTTTCCTTTTAGCCATATAGATTAGTTCCTATCAAATTATATAAAGTAAACATGTAATGAGCCATTTAGTTTCAAACTATGAAAAAAATTAGGTGAAACCAGTGTTTTCAATGCGTGAGGCGCAATGCGGGGCGCAATGTCAGTTTACGCGCACATGCGCAAGGCGCAATGCGATGCGCGCGCCCGAGTGAAGCGAGGCGCACTCAATAAAAAATTAAAATTTCACACAGAAAATGTAACCTCAGACTCAAGATAAATAAAATATACACTACTAGATCACAAAATAAAGTTTTAATCATCGAAGCAAATCAAGTTATCCATCAAAACAAAAACACAAAGCAGCTTGAACACTTAAGGAGTTCAATAACATCAAATCAAAACAAAGCAAGCAATCTAATTAAACAAAGCAAATAAGTAGCAAAATAATAGCCTAACAAGCAATCTAATTAAACAAAGCAAATAAGTAGCAAAATAATAGCCTAATGATTCTAATCATCCTCATTAACATCATCATCATCCAATAATAGCCTAATGATTCTAATCATCCTCATTAACATCATCATCATCCCCTTCTAAGGGTATATCCTCCTCTTCAGTTTCCTCCTCCTCGACGAAGAACCAATACCACTCGAAAATCCTCGAAACCTATTAGTCGATCTTAGATACATAGAATCATCTTCTTCAGCTCCCATTGCATCTCCTATGACACCATATGTAAGGTTGTCCTCGCCCTCCACCAAGTCATTCTCTGCATTTTCACCTTCACCGAATTACCCTAACAACCATTCATTGCTTTCATCTATATCAGCCAACTTAATCGGATCAATAGAATCTCTGCAGTCATATCTCTCCTTCAAAGCTTGGTTGTACTTGCAGTAAACTAGATCTTGCAGCCTCTTATGATCCAATTTA